AAATCAGGAATCTCATGTTAGCTTCTATATCAACCTGTTGGAAGAGAAGCTTTAAGGATTATTAGTCAACCTTACTGTGAGAATGCCTACATGCTATCTGTAGAGGTGGCATAGGGGCATTAGGAAGTGGAGGCATCATTGACAAGAATGTCAAGGAAATTGTTGATTTGATTCCCATGGTATATTTCTCTTGGACTGACAGTGTAAGGTTTGAGACTTACAACATTCATTGTAAGATGATGTTTAAGAAACTCATACTTGGTTAGTCAGTTAGGACCCATCACTAGGCGAAAAACATAAATAGGCATTGGTTCAAACCACCCTATGGGCACCGGTTTTGAAACGTTGAGTATTTGAGGGATGTCAAATCTCTGAAGATTTGGCACCGGTTAACCGGTGAAAATTACCCATGGCGCGCTTTTTTTTATTTTTTTATATTTTTTTTTATTTCAATACAATAGGCACCGGTTTTGACTTAGAACCGGTGCCAAAAGTCCCCAAAAAAATTTAAAAAAAAAGACTTTTAGCACCGGTTCTTTTCCAAAACCGGTGCCAAAAAAAAAACAATTTTTTTTTTTTTTTGGATTTTTTTCACTTAAATTGTACCAAATACTTATATATAATCATAATATACATAAAACACATATATTTTCTTCAATAACTTGTAAAATTACACTTTAAAAAACTAAAAAAAAAAAAACACTTGAGATTTTAGTTGAATGCTGACTAGTACATCATGAAAAACAGAAATTTAAACCAGAAAGACGAGGAAAAAAAAGATAAGCAGCATGACTCGCTGCCATGCCTGTAAGAAAATGAGATAAGAAGAACAGACTAAGGTCATGAAATGAAGAGAATGATGACAATGTAGAAGTGGACAGGGCATGACAACAAAAAATAGATCCTAAGACATGGAAAACATGCATACCCCATACATAGAGGTGGAAAACAGGCTCTAAATCTTCAACATCAGTCTTGTGTTGCACAACAGTACGATGAAGAGTAAAAGCTATAGTGGTCGTCCATAAAAAGGACGCGACGCAGAAGAAATGAGTGTTATAACCCTAAGCATAACATAAGAACCCTGTAGATGGATCTCTACATAGAATGGGAAACACTGTAATTAACACTATGTATGTATATAGACATCACAACTAATCATAGAATTGAGTAAATGATTGAGCATTATAATGAATGATGCGATGAACAATTGGACATAACATACATACAAACATACCCAATAATATTGAAAAAACTGCAAAGCATGTCCTACAATCAAAACCAAATTACAATGTAATCCAAATATACTTAAAAATGAATATTGAAGTTTGCAATCCAACTGTAAAAATGACCTAAAAATGCAATAGAGAGATTCATAGCAGTGATTGTTAATTAAAAAAGAAAGGAAGAAGAACAAAGTGATAGAATGATTGGTAGGAGAGAGAAAGAGAGTTATAGAGAGAGCGAGATAAAAGACGAGCTTGAAAGAGAATTTGAGAAGGTCCATGAAAAGAATGTAACAAAGGACAATGAAGCTAGATCCAATCAATGAAAAACTTGAAGCAACCATGTTCACCGTCGCAAGTATTTCTCGATTGCCGCCGGACAAACTCCCAACACCACCACTACCTCCCGACGCCGCCATTTTCGCCTCTTCTTTTTCTCTTCTTCCAACGCCACCACTTGCCCAAGAAACTCAGGCCACACACCAACATCAACATCAATAGAAATCAAGGGACATTAAAAAGGGACATAATCCAAGAAACTCAGTCCACACACCAACATCAATAGCTACAACAACATATCACAATCATACATCCCCTGGCCAGCAAATCAATCCACAAAGTTTAATTTCAGCTTTAACACAAACTTAAGACCATATAATATCACAAAAATAAAACACGAATAATTAGTAGGAATTCATTAGAGTTTAAGGGGGAGAGAGAAAATACCCTAAGCAACAGTACACTCTTAGCTTGGCATTCAATGACTATTCAAACACAACAACAAAAACCGCAAATTTCATCAAAATAAAGCAAATAATTCATGAATCCATCAGGGGTTTTATTTTCATCCAAAAACTTCTCAAACTATGTTACCTCAACGGACAAACTGGAGCAAATCACAGTGAGAAGCTGTACGATGAAAGTGAGTCCCTTCATCATATGGATTATCCTAGTGTAACTATTTACGGCCAAGGGACTCAATGCATTGGTTTGTTATATAGGGGTCAGTTAAAAAGGGACATAATCAAGGAGTATATTCCAAGCAACATTGATCAAGGGACATAATCAAGGAACATATTCCAAGCAACATTAAACAATGGACATAATTAAGGGACATATTCCAAATAACATTAATCAAGGGACATTAAAAAGGGACATAATCCAAGAAACTCAGGCCACACACCAATATCAATGGCAACAACAACATATCACAATCATACATCCCCTGGCCTCTTCCCAAGATGACTTCACCACCTCTTTGTTCCCTTCATCGAGGAGCCAACGTTTCAAACCTAGCGTCCGAGGCAGCAACAACAACAACACTTTGGGCAGCAACAACAACAACAACAACAACACATTGGGCAGCAAAAAAGCAGAGTGCAAGCAAGCAGCAGTAATGCATTGTACAGAGCAATCGAGGGACATTAAAAAGGGACATAATCCAAGAAACTCAGGCCACACACCAACATCAATAGCAACAACAACATATCACAATCATACATCCCCTGGCCAGCAAATCAATCCACAAAGTTTTACTAAGGTATGACACACTTAGAAGCAGCTTCACACCAGTCCACACTCATATATACTACCCATCAACTAGACAACAGCCAAGCTATTAATCTTTCAATTCAGCCACAACAATAAATTTTAGCGCATTCAAAGCAGAAACAAATCAATAACACTTGAGTAGGCAAAGCAGATCAATCGAAACCAATAACAAACTAAACAAGAAGACCAATTGAACTAAACAAACTAAACCAACAACAAACACAACCTCACAACCAGTCAAACAATCAACACAAAGAATTCACAAAATGAATTACCATTTAAGGCCACAGAGTAATATCACATAATCCAAGAAACTCAGGCCACACACCAACATCAATAGCAACAACAACATATCACAATCATACATCCCCTGGCCAGCAACAGATCAAAGTTGCTGGCAACCATTTATCAACAAGCAACACACAATCCTCCATCAACAAACACTTGATGAATTTGAGCTCAGATAATACTTTGTATGGTATATATAATTAGGGTCAGATTATCATGAAAATGCAGAAAAATTATCAAGAGACATCCTTTACCTCATCATCATCAAACTCATCACCATACCCAACCTTCGCATCGCCACAATACCCGAGTTAAATCCCATATCCAGGTTCGCTCCACAGCACATCAGTAATTTGAAAGCTCAGAAACACAGATCTACATAATTTCAAGAAATACTGACAATTAAATGTAGTCAAAATCGACCACCGCAGCCACCCTGACCACCCACGAAACCCCTAAACCCACCACGAAACTGCCTCCCCATTGACTACCTAAAAAAAAGTCAAATCTAGAAAAACTTCAAAGTGAAACCCAAACTGTAATACCCCGTATTTTTGAAAGGTATTTTAGTCTCGTATTTTGACGTATTTTTCTAGATTAATTATTTTCTAAAGAGTATTTTAGTTTTGGAGCCAAAATGATATTTAAATTTTGGCGCCTAAATCATTATTTTACAAAATTAATTAAATTGGATAACCTAATAAATGAAACTATTTTATACTTATGTTATAAATAGTATTTTTGATTTCTCAAAATGAAATAGCTAAACCGAAATTATATTAATTCGGTAGATTAGTTAAATTGTATTTTCGGTTTTCATAGAATAAAAATCTAAATTGTTTTAATATCTTTCTAAATTAATTATTTTCATGAAATATATATTTAAAGATTAATTTTCGGATTTTATATAATAAAAATCTGATTTAATTAATTATTATATGTCAATATTTTCAGCCACCCCAATTATTTAATAAAAATCTGATTTTTATTCTTCAATTATTAATTTTCACAAAATAGATTTTATTGGATTATTAATTTTAAGCAAATAAATTATTTTACAAAATCCTTAAATTAACATAGAGGGACCGAAATTATTGAGCAATATTAAGCTCAATATTTTCGGCCACTCATGATTTTTCTAAATGATTTTAATTTATTTTATTAAAGATAAAGATCCTTTAAAATTCCTTATTTTTACTCTTAAATCTAAAATTTATTTGATCTTATTCTATACTTGTACTCCAATCTCAAAACCTACTAAACAAAATTTCATGATCAAATAAAATCTAATATTCTTCCATACATTTAAAACCGTAATTTCTATTCTTTAAAATTTCCATAAATTATACAACCCTAAATTGCTATAAACTCATCACCTAAACACCTATAAATACCCCCTCATACCTCTAATATTCTTCACACCAAAAACTCAATTCCCTTCTTTTCTTTTACTCTTCTTTTCCCTCAAACTTTTCCTATTTTTCTTTTCCTCTTTTCTAAAAGAAAATCTGCCCGTATATCTTTGGAACTAATTTTCGGGCATTTTTGGTCAGTTTTTGGATTTTTCTATTTCATAAAAAATTATTCCTATTGAAATATCCTTGAGGTTAGGCTGAAGAATCACCCAATTAGATGTTATATCAAAGGAGTTATGACCTCTACAAGTTCTGCCTATCCTTTCCAACGCAAATTCAATTTCCTTTAATCCTATTCCTTTATTTTCTTCATGGTTAGTTTTCTAAAATATAATTACCTATTTCACAGTTATAATTTTATATTAAAGTATTATTTTTAAAATAGTTTTATAGTCCATGCACATTAGATTTAGGTTTATGTCTAAAGATATTGTGATAATCGTATGGTTATGTTAATTGCAAGGTGTATTCGTGATTGAACTTTGAAAGTGCGAAGTGTTTATTGATATTCGGAATTAAGGTACGTTATATGGTTTGATACCTTCGAAAGTTGTCCATGAAATTGTATCTTATTATGTTCCTTATAAAATTAATGATTTTTGGTTAATCAAAATAGACTTTGAATTATGATTAAAATTATTAAAAAGGATTGGATTAAAATTGATTTACAGGTTTCTTAATATTCAAGAATGATGGATTTTTTTAAAAGGTGCTTTTAAGTAAATCAATCGATATGGTTATGAATCCCACTTAGGGAATGGATTAGAGAAGACTATGGACTTTGCATGACCTAATCTTTCCTCAAGATTGGCCTTTGTTCATAAAGTAAACCACTTGGGGGTGTGCACACTTAGTGAGGAAATGGTTTTGGAACGTAATCGATTGAGTTTTAAACTTGTCTTGAAAGCATTGAATTGGAAAGCTCTTACATGAGTATGGCATTGGAATTCTTTGAATTAAACTTAAATGATTTAAATTATGTTTTACTTATCTTACACATAAACTACTTAGCATAATTTGCTAATACGTACTTTTGTTTTGGCTTTGCCCTGTTTACCATTTATGGTAAGCAGGTGAACTTTTCAGGTGGAAGTTAATTGATGCATGCGGGAGTCCACGGGAATTTCACCTAGCTTAGGAAAAGTTTGACTTTGTTTTGTGTCAAAAATTATGAACAAGTTTATTTAAAGTTTTATTAATAAGAATAAAGAATTTTCCGCTGCAAAAGTATTTTTAAAGTATAAGCCTTGCGTTATCACGCGGCGGTAATACGCCCAAGTCTATCTCTACGGTATTTATACGTATTTTCTACATATTCCGTAGAGAGAGATTTGGGGGTGTTACACAAACCCAGAAAACCCAAATCGAAATTAAGAGGGTTGCGGTAGTAAACTAACCCTAGTTTACAAGAACTAACCCTAAATTCGAAAATCAAATCAACGACAAACCCTATATTGCGAAAACTGAAATCGATAATCTAAAAAGGACAAAAACAAATTTTTACCTCGAAGCTGCTTCAATGGAGGTGAGAAAGCTCGAATCCGCTTCAATGGAGAATTAACAGTACGCGTAGTGGAGGAGTGATATGGACAAAGCTCAGAATGCGCTTCAATGGAGAACTACGAGCACGCGTAATGGAGGAGAGATATGGAGAAAGGTGGAACTTCAGAGGTGGTCGAAGCTAAGAGAAGGGCGAAAACGAGAGTTAGGGAAAACCGAAAATGAAAAGTAGGGGGAAAGAAAATAAGAAGAAGAAATACGAGCGGTTGTTTTTTTTTTTTAAATGGGCACTGGTTTGAACCGAACCGGTGCCAAATCCCTTTCTCCCTTTTTTTTTTTAAAAAATATCTTTTTTATTTGGCACCGGTTTGAACCGGTGCCAAAAAAATAATTTGCCACCGGTTTGGCTGGAACCGGTGCCAAAAGCTTGTTTTCCAATCCCGCCCGTTTATTTAACCACCAGTTTTCAAAAACCGGTGCCAAAGGTGGGGTGCCTTTGTCATTTTTTCTACTAGTGCATGTCGAGGAACTAATTGAGTTACTTAATTGGATGGATATCCTAGAGAGACCGTATGATGATGACTCTGCTCATGACACTATTCTGTTTTCACATCATGTTAGATTTGATCTCGTCAAGCTAATTCATGATGATGAAGGCTCTATAGTCACGCTTGTCGACCTATTGATCAACCACACAGAGGAGTACTTGAAGAAAGAAGGAAGCCATTGCTTCTATTATGGCAGGTGGTCTTACCACTTACCAGGATGTCCCCACAACATGCCGTTGAAAACGGAAGGTAAGGAGTTACCTAATGTTTATGTTGTAGAAATTAACCTTACTTTCTCTTCCATATGGGTATTCGATACTGGTTGTGGTGCTCACATTGTTAATGACACGCAAGGCTTAAGAGTGAGTAAAAGGCTAGCAAAGGGGGAGATGATGCTTCGAGTAGGAAATGGAGAAAATGTTGCTGCACTTGCTATTGGAAGCTATGAACTCAAGCTCCCGTCTGGACTCATTTTGGTTCTTAATAACTATTATTATGTTCCCGCGATTACTAAAAACATTGTTTCAGTTCCTGTTTTAGATACAGAAGGTTTTTCTTTTGAAATTAAAGACAAATGTTGTTTTATTTCAAAGAATAACATGTTATATGCTAGTGCAAAATTGGTTAATGGTTTATATGTATTAGATTATACAACCCATGTCTATAACATAGATCATAAAAAGCAACGAACATATGGTTCATATGAACCAATCGCGCATCCAAAAATTACAAAAGGATGAAATCCTTTCATCATTTGATTATGAATCATTTGAAAATTGTGAGTCATGCTTGCTAGGTAAAATGACCAAGTCATCTTTTACAGGAATAGGTGAAAGAGCTAGTGACCTTTTGGGACTCATACATACAGATGTGTGTGGACCAATGAGTTCAAAAGCTAGAGGTGGGTTTAGTTACTTCATTACTTTTACTGATGATTTAAGTAGATTTGGTTATATCTACTTAATGAAGCACAAGTCGGAAGCCTTTGAAAAGTTCAAAGAATTCGAGAATGAAGTACAAAATCAACTTGGGAAGACAATTAAAGCACTACGATATAATCGTGGTGGTGAATATTTGACTCAAGATTTTGATGATCATCTGAGGGATTGTGGAATACTTTCACAATTAACTCCTCCAGGGACACCACAGTTAAATGGTGTGTCAGAAAGGAGGAATCGAACCTTGCTAGACATGGCTCGATCCATGATGAGCTTTACTGATCTTCACATATCATTATGAGGATATGCATTAGAAACAGATGCAAAAGTACTAAACAAAAGCCCGTCCAAAGCAGTTGAAAAGACTCCATATGAGATGTGGAATGGAAAAGTACCAAAGATGTCTTTTCTTAAGATTTAGGGTTGTGAAGCCTATGTAAAATGTTTACAAGGTGACAAACTAGGCCCTAAATCAGACAAATGTTTCTTCGTGGGTTATCCCAAGGAAACAAGAGGGTATTACTTCTACAATCACGAAGATAACAAAGTGTTTGTTGCTCGCAATGGTGTCTTTCTAGAAAAGGAATTTCTTTCTCAAAAGCCAAGTGGGAGTAAAGTGATTCTCGAAGAAATTCGAGACGAGCAACAAATGGATGTGGATAACACCATGTTAGAGGCGAGGGCACATGAGTCAACTAGTTTGACAAATAATGCGTCGGAGCAAGCTAATTCAACTAGCAAGACTCCTATCGTCCCACTTGAATCTAATTCTTGCAAAATTCTTCAAAGAGTTGAAGAGAATATTTCTACTGTTGCTCCTACCCTGCGTAGGTCTAGCAGAATCAGAAACAAACAGTTTGTTGATGTAATGCTAACTGAAAATTCTGAAATATTCTTATGGGAGATGAAGAACCTACAACCTACAAGTAAGCTTTGGCGAGCCCTGAATCAGAGAAATGGATTGAGTCCATGAAATCCGAAATGGAATCCATGTCTGAAAATGGTGTGTGGGCCTTGGTAGACTTGCCTAATGGAGTCAAACCTATTGGTTGCAGATAGGTCTACAAGATCAAGACAGACAAAGATGGGAATGCCTACATCTATAAAGCAAGACTAGTTGCAAAAGGGTTCAGACAGATTCATGGCATTGACTATGATGAAACTTTTTTCCCAGTAACAATGCTTAAGTCCATTCGGATTCTTCTAGCGATTTGTGCATTTTTCGATTACGAAATTTGGCAAATGGATGTCAAAACCGCCTTCTTGAATGGGTTCTTGACGGAGGATGTGTACATGACACAACCTGAGGGTTTTGAAGATCCAGAAAATCCTGAAAGGGTATGCAAACTTCAGAAATCCATTTATGGATTGAAGCAAGCATCAAGGAGTTGGATCCTTCATTTTGATGAGGCGATCAAACAGTTTGGTTTTCTCAAGAGAGAAGAAGAACCTTATGTATACAAGAAGTCTAGTGGGAACAACCTAGTTTTTTTAGTTTTGTATGTAGATGACATACTGCTCATGGAGAATGACATACCAATGCTTGAGTCAGTCAGGAATGGTTGAAGAGTTGTTTCTCCATGAAAGACTTGGGTGACGCAGAGTACATTTTGGGAATCAAGATCCATCGAGACAGGTCTCGAAGGATGATTGTCAAGAGACTTATATTGATAAGGTTCTTGACAGGTTTGCGATGAAAGACTTCAAGAGAGGATTTCTTCCCATGTTTCATGGTATTACGCTCAGTAAAGCTCAGTGCCCTCAAAAGTCAGAAGAGTTTAGACGTATGGCTAATATACCTTATTCTTCTGCAATAGGGTCTATTATGTATGCCATGATATGTAAGAGGCCGGATGTTGCATATGCTCTTAGCATGTGTAGCAGGTTTCAGGCAAATCCTGGTGAACCACACTGGACAGCTGCCAAGAATATCCTTAAGTACTTGAGAAGGACTAAAGGAATGTTTCTAGTATATGGTGGCGAAAATGAGTTGGTTATCAAAGGCTATACGGATGCGAGTTTCCAAACAGATAGAGATAACTTCAAATCCCAATTAGGGTACATTTTATGTCTGAATGAAGGAGCGGTGAGCTGGAAGAGTTCGAAGCAAAGCACTGTCGCAGACTCTACGACAGAATTAGAATATTCGGCTGCCGTTGAAGCAGCTAAGGAAGCAGTTTGGATCAAGAAGTTCTTTACAGAGCTGGACATTGTACTAAGTGCTCAAGAAGGAATTGAATTGTATTGTGACAACAATGGCGCCATTGCTCAATCAAAGGAGCCAAGGTCACATTTCAAATCCAAACACGTTGAGAGGAAGTATCACCTCATTTGAGAGATTGTTCGCAGACGAGATGTCAAGATGAGCAAAGTTCACACGGATGAGAATATCGCTGATCCGCTCACTAAACCCCTTCCACAGCCCAAGCATGAAGCTCAGACTAGGGCAACTGGATTGAAGCAAGTGATGTAATTTAAGTTGTATTTTTTTTGAGAAAACTTATTACACATGTAATATATTCATTTGCAGAATTATGTTTAATTAT